AGGCCAGCCCGGGGTCTAGAGAGATCCGAGCCAACTGGGGAAACATTGCAAGACCCTATCTCAAACAAATGAGTGGATAAATGAAGGCAGGTTAAAGGAAGTCCAAGAGCACCCAGATAAAGAATTAGCAGGTGTTTGGGGAGCACTCACGCAATGATGGTAAATTACTGCCGAGGCCTTCTGCTCCTGTAACACAGCCTCTGCCCTTCAGGATGCTCCGCCCACAACCCAAGAGAGACTGAGCCAGCCCCTCCTCTTCCCCATAAGGGGTCAGATCCACACACTCTGAAGCCACACCCTAAGATGTGACTATTACCTCAAGTCTATTGGTGGAACAAGATGCCACTACATACAAAACCCAATGACAAGTTCTACAGGTGGTCACAACAGCATCTTCATGGAAACTGGCCTCAGGCAGCACTGGGCTGATTCATCAGCTGACTCGGGCTGTCCATGAAAGATCTGTGAAAGCCTGAGTTGGCACACAGAGAGCCCAAGCAAAGAAAGAGGAGCAGTGTTGTCTCCTGCAGTGGTGTTGCTGGAGACCCCGGACGTTGACCTTTAGAACTCACTGTGGAGAGAACCCAGGCCAAGAGACATTTTCTGAATATCCCTAAGATGAATGCGGTGTGCTGGGCAATGGCGAAACAGGTGACTCATCTCTGGGAGAGAAGAAATTGGTATTTCCTGCCTGAATAATTGGACAGGAAAGACACATTTCTTTGCAATTGAAATCCCTGTCTAGTGACGTTATCACCTCTTTCCTAAATGTCAGTATGCCAAAGCCCAGTGATGCCCATGACTTCCTCCAACATCTGTGTATCCTGTGCACATGTAGCAGGAAGACTGATCCAAAGACTTGACCTATGTTGCCTCCCGACAGAAGACTACAAGGCACACATCTAAACGGACTACACTCCAGCAGTTACCTCAGTAATCGGTCCTCAGAGAATGAACGCCTACTCTTGGTCCCAACAGTAGAAACAAAGGCCAGGCCCTCTTCCTTGCTCAGTAATTCCACTGGCATCACACAGCAGGCACAGAGGTCACAAAGCCTGCTGAAATGGGACTGCGTCTTGTTTCCAGAGAGAATTCTCTTTGGAAGCACCCTTGTCAAAGATCTGTTGTACAGCAGAAGGTAGTTGCATATGTAGCAGGAACGCCAATAAAGAAAGGGTGAGGCCACATCGGCCGCCAAGAGCCTCACGTACTGTTTGTATTAAAGCAGAAGCCACCAGAAGGTCCTTGTGTCAGAACCACGTCAGGTGCTCCCAGCAACTGACACACGTTAAGGGTTCATTTGGGTTTTATGTAAAGCCCTCTGTCACTCCGGGTGGCTAACAGAGTGTTTCCATCTCAGTTGGCTTTTTTTTCTTCAACATTATTCTAACTGCTGAAAGAAAGTTAAAATGCTGTGTTGGTCCTGAGATTTTTGGGCAGCACTCTTTCAGCAGTCAGACAAGCCCTTCCCCTGTCCTTGCAGAGCAAGTGCTTCCAGAGCCCACAGCCTATTGGAAAGTAACCACCCCAAGGTTTGACGCCACAGGCAAGGATTTCAAGGCTGCATTTGACCCTAGCATGTTCTCTTAACAGAAAACAAAATGCTTGATTACTATGCTGTAAGGATTTGCAATTAAGGGCCTTTGAATGGCACTTGGAAATTAATAGTAGCCTTGGGCTGTTTATTTTCACTGTTGTTGAGCACACAAAACTATGGGAGGAGATTGTATTCTGAAACATTTGGGATTTTATGCCCAGAAAATTCCAGATTACACAGCACAGTGGAGGAGAGAACAGAGGCTCGATAAGTCAGAGCAGAAAACCAGCCAGCCAAGCACCATTCGTCAAAATTTTGCAGTATATTTTTGAATTTCATTTCAAATGTCAGCATTTCTCATACCCGCCCCCCAAATTTCTTCAAGCAAAGGAGTGGCACAGTGATGTGAAATCCTAACTAAACAGGATCCAATTTTCCTGGTGTCATCCTGCGCCTCAGCTGAGCTGCATCAAACATCCCATCATCAAAGCATCCCCATTCAAGCACAGCGCCTGGCTTACAGCCTCCCCTGCATCTGCCCTGCACATTCACTATCGTGATGCCTGGCTTAGAAGCAGGGCACAGCCCCAAATAAAAGCACCCAGGCTGATGCTCAAAGCTAGTTGTAGGTTAAAGGTCGGACATCAGGCAAAGCCCAGAGAGGCAGAGTGATGGGTTCACCAAGAGCTCTGATGACTGGACTCTGGGCCCTGTTTGCCTTTTGTGACCTTGAACAAATTACTAACTGCTATCTGCTTTCTATCCATTTCTTCCACTGAAAACTCATATCAGTCACTTAATAGCATTTAAGGGCTACATTATGTGCATTTTGATATAAATATAACTACATGTAGAAATAGCTTTATTAAATATTAAAATTTAATGTTAAATGTTAAGTAAAATTTTAAATATTAATTAAATATCATTTAACAAAGTGCTTGTCTTGTGTTAATAAGTACCCAAAAAAAGTAGAAGGAATTGTTACTAGCCCTCTATAAATCCGAAAGTAGATAACCAAGGGCTCTGTGCTACTACGTTGAATAATAAACTATTAGTTCCAGGTTGGTGTTTTCAACAAAGATGTGCAATGGTTTTGATGGGAAATCAGAGAAAGGCAGACTTGCCTCATCCAGTGTCTATCTAATCCCAGAGACACATCTCTTCTTCAATGAAGTCGTTTCCATGTGGCGTTTGGAGGATGGTAGTCTTCATGTCCCTTTGGGTTTTATGTTGTTAAGTTATCCCATATAGAAAGAAACCAAGTTGGCAGGTGCACGCCTGTACATGTGCGCGCGCACACATACACACACATTATATAAGAAATATTTGAAAAGAAATAAAAGAATGGTAATTAATACTTACAGGTTAGTTCTTTAGTGCTGGGCATTCTTCTGCTGGCCGCCTATCTAGTTCTTAGAATTACTATGAGGTCAGTGATATTATTACCCCGACAATAGATGAAAAAAGTTAAGAGCTCTAAGGTAACTTCCTGAAGATCACAGGATAGACTACAGTGTACACATTTATGGGCAGGAAAGCCAAACCATTGGATCATTCCAAGAACTATTGAACATGGAAAGTGGGAAACAGAGCAGGAAAAAAAAACTTCTCCCCTAATTATGGTTGAAAACCAAACACCTTTCAATACCTACATTTTTTACATTTATTCCTGTAGAGAGTGAGTGTGTGTGTATATATACCTTGGTGTACGATGTGTGTGTATGGTGTATGTGCATGCCTATGTGTATGATGTGTGCATGTCTATGTGTGTGCCTATGTGTATGATGTGTGCATGTCTATGTGTGTGCCTAGGTGTACTATGTGTGTATTTGTGTGAGTGTGCTTGTGCACCTGTATTTGCAAGTGCATGAGTACCACAGAGTACTGTGGAGACCTGGGGACAACTTCACAGAGTCAGATCTCTCTTGCTACCTGGTGAAATCTGGAGATCAAACGAGTCATCCTCAGGGCAAGCACCCCTTCCTGCTGAGCCACCTTACTGGTCCCCTACATTATTAGTTTTTGAATCAGTAATTGTCCTTATTATATTTCTGCCTGAGAAGTATAGTCTATGACTCTAAAATGATCATTAGTAAACTCTAAATAGTGCCCTCTTAATTAAACACATTAGTGCTTATGGTAAATAAAAATGAGTTTGGGCTCAAACATGATTGGTTTTACTTCAGGGACACAGCCTTGTTCAGTATTTTTGTACGCTGCCTGTAACCTTTCACAGTGGAAGAGTGAGCACGTCCTTCGTTCATTAACACACTAATTGTGCTTCCTCTCCGCGGTTATTAGTTGATAATCCCACCCCTCAACTGTACCGCATGCACCCAATTAACACTCAAGGTGTAGACATCCTTGGAGAATCTGAACAGAGGGCTGTGTCTACCTCTGTTTCTCATCTGTCAACAGTGTTTTAGATTACAAATTCTTTGATGGGAGACACACAGGACACCGTGTGCTATTGAGATCTGCGCCCAGACACAGCAACCTTGGTATGCAGTTCACTATTTATAGTAAATGCCAGTCAACCTGCTAGATACATGCATCCCCGTGTATCTGGCTCTTCTAAAACACATGAGTTAAAGATTAAAATAAAATGTGTTCCTTGTTTTAAATAATTACATAAAAGCTATACCAACTCCGCAACTCCCACACTATTTTAATATCTCAATAGTTGGAGTGCATCTTCTGGTTAATGAATGTCATTGTTGAAGGAGACTCTTTCTGATGTGTCTTTCTTGTGACCCTTAAAACTGTGTCTTTGCCTTCATTGGCATCTTAGATTTGATGAAATCCATTGTCCCCTTGACACTGGTGTGTTCTCATGAAGTGGAAAGGATAGAATGGCAGAAAACATGCTGCCCTGAACTAAATCTTAGCAGATGTGAGGTAAGTTCTGTCGCTTTGCCAAGTAGCTGCTCCCTGGATTCGTGCGTACTCAAGGATTTCCCCTCTTTCCTGCTGCCAATAAGACGGAGATATAAACTAAATCATTGTCATTCTTGTCCCTTCCTGAAGCCATGTCACTGTCTCTCCAGTTCAAGCGCTCTACACATTCTTCTGTGCCTGTGGGTCTCAAACACTGGCATATGCTAGACTCTACCAAGAAGCCACTTAGAAATCCACAGCCCTTGTTTCCTGCTTAGACATTCAGATTCTGATGTTTGGATAAGCTTATATTTGATCCGCAGATGAGTTTGATGCACCTCAACACTTGATAATGTCTGCTCTTTGGGTTTAGACTTGGCCTATCACTGCTAAGGACTTGAATTAAGGAACATTGGTCTCAGTAATATGCGTAGACCACATTTATTAGGAATGGTTGTTATGCAAAGAGGCAAAGACGGTGACAAAGGAAAGGATTCTGACACTGCATTGCTTTTCTTAGGCAGGACTGAGATAGATCGTATACTGGTGATGTCCCTGATATCTATCTCTGTTGGGGTTTTTTTAGCCGTGCCCCATAAAATCGGACGCATCATCGATGGGAGTCCTGCAGATCGCTGTGCGAAGCTAAAAGTGGGAGACCGGATCCTAGCAGTCAACGGCCAGTCTATCATCAGCATGCCTCACGCTGACATCGTGAAGCTCATCAAGGATGCAGGTCTCAGCGTCACCCTTCGCATCATTCCTCAGGAGGGTGAGTGCCTGAGGTGGCCTTACAGAAAGACAGTCAGGCCGCAGACAGACTCATCCAGAGGTCCTCGGCCGACCCACCCAGCTCCGGGAGTCCGTCCACCAGCTGACAGCAGGGTGCTGTCTGAGTGTCAGAGGTTGGCAGTCATGTCCACTTTTTCCCACGCTCACACTCAACAGTTTCATTTAGAAATGAACTGCGTGGTCCCACAGGCTCAGAAGTAAAAATCAGAAGACTCAGGGCTATCAGAGCCCTCCCCGGGGTCTCCGGCATACCAGTCTTACGGAGATATAAAGCCAGAACTCACTCAACCCAGCAGGTAGCAATACAAACCTGAAAGGAGAAAAAATGACAGAGGAGGGAAAGCTTGCTCATGTTAATAATTAATCTCTGGAAAAGTCTTCAAAGTCAGATTGATTTTGAAATGCCTGGGGGAGTTTTAGTTTTGCAATCCAAAGAGAGTTCATTTAGGAAATGTTACATCTGATAAGAATGTAAAATTCCCACTTAGCCTTTCGAATTATCTATACAAGTCCCCTTCCCCCGCCCTAGCACCTGAAGGTTTCAGAACAGTGAACAACACACACTCATAACTGAGACCCATCTACATTCTTTCAGGATTTCCATGCACAGTAAGCAGGGCTGGGCTCTGGGCTGCAGTGTGTGACTAATCAATGGAGTTGAAGAGGTTCATCTGTGAGCCTCACTGATGAGCGGTCATGGGTCCCCTCCAGGGGCTGATGGAGCCCACTGATGAGTGGCCATGGGTTCCCTCCAGGGGCTGATAGAGCCCACTGATGAGTGGCCATGGGTCCCCTCCAGGGGCTGGTGGGCTTACTTTGCATTCTTTATTTAACTCAGCCCCAACCCATTCCACTTTAGGACTGTCTGATATGTCAACACTAAATGGCAGAACAGACAGCCACATGGCTTTAATTATAAAGCAGAAGCTTCCAGCTAGGGTGATTTGGGAATATCTGGTACAATCTAGAGACAATTTTGACTGTCATGATTGGGGCAGGAATATGACTGTCATTTAGTGAACAGAGGTCAGAGATATTCCAAAACATCCTATGATGCTCAGGACAATACCCCACGGCAAATAAGTATCTGACCAAAATGTGAAGAGTGCAAAAGATGCGAGACCATAATTAAAAGCAGGGATTATATTAAGACATTTGGACTGTGAGAGAAGACAGAAAAGTGGTTTATATGAGAATGTAAATAGGCCACCTCCATTTGTCACCCAGCTACAAAAATAGAAAGGCAGAGACAAGACAGACAGACAGACAGACAGACAATAAGGGCCGTACTTTTAGTCTGCTGTCTGAAGGCACCAGTCCATGTAAGACAGTCAGTGGAAATGAACTGTAATCAGGATCGTCTCCTACAGACTGGGCTGCTCCTCTGCCCTCCCAGCCTGAAGTGTTGGTCCTGCCTTGACTCTAGCGTGTGAAGGTCGGATCCATTGAAATTTCTGTGTTGTTAAGAAAGGGAAGACGTAGTTTCTGAGTAGCCTTCTGGGTCTTGCTGTGTAGCCTTCTGGGTTTTGCTGTGTGTGGGGTTCTTTTTTCTTTCTGGAGAACTGTGAGTACAGAGGGCTCTCAGTAAGACTGGCAAGGGGCCAAAGAAGAGGTTGCAACACCATTTCTGTTTGAGCATCTAGCTTCCTGTTCGTAAGTTGGAAGCCTGGTAGACTTGGGCTGGGGATGGTGGCACACATCCCACAAGCCAGCTCCTTGGCAGGTGGAGTCAACATCATCTCTTCAGGATCAGCTGGCTACAGAGTGAGGCTGTGTCAAAAGGGAAGGAAGAGAGACTTCTTTTTTTTTTCTTTTGGTTTTTCGAGACAGGGTTTCTCTGTATTGTTTTGGAGGCTGTCCTGGAACTCGCTCTGTACACCAGGCTGGCCTCGAACTCAGAGATCTGCCTGTCTCTGCCTCCCGAGTGCTGGGATTAAAGGCGTGAGCCACCAACGCCTGGCTGAGAGATTTCTTAAACAGCCAAAAGGTGATAGCTAGAACACTTTCTCTCAGCAACAATTCGAATATTTTTAGAATATCAATGTTTTACGTGTTCCTTTGATTTGTCTTCTCAGAGCTTTAGTGGTTTAGCTGTTTCCACTTTTGTTGTTTGCTTCACTGACCTTTCCTCTCACAAAATGGCAAGACTCTTCCTAACTCCACTCAGTAATGATTGCAGTTAAAGAAAGAACACCCCTTCAGGAATGGTGTGGACCTTGTAGGTTTAGCCTGCTAGCAGAAACTGAAACGGCCAAGGCCTGGAGTCACACAAGGAGGCGATGAGCCCCAACCTCTGCTTACTTCTTGCCCCTGATCAGATGCCAACCTGACCCCATCTGTTGCCTTGGTTCCCATTAGAGCTCAACAGCCCAGCATCGGCACCCAGCTCAGAGAAGCAGAGTCCCATGGCCCAGCCGCACAGCCCCCTGGCCCAGCCGAGCCCAGCCACGCCCAACAGCCCTGTCGTCCAGCCGGCTCCTCCTCAACCTCTCCAGCTGCAAGGGCATGAAAACAGGTAACGTTTCCTCTACCTTTTGACTCTGAGAGGCGAGGAGAGAATGCCTGGGACGGTTCAGGACCCAGCAGTGGGAGAGGTCTTCATATACCTGAGATTGCTGAGTGTACGTGTGTAGGGTTTCTGTTGTGTGTGTGTGTGGGGGGGGTGAATATATTGTTTCATTGATAAATATAACTCAGCGTCTGCCCTGCACCGTAGAGAAGCTCCTAGGTGGAAATGCTGAGCCATCGCAGATTCGTTGGGGCTAACTAGCTGAGAGCGTTAAGAAGCTTCTAGAATGAGAACACAGGCAGAGGTCCTCCGGCAGGAGAGAGACCCGAGCATGAAGGACTGCAGCAAGGTCAGAGATGTTGTGGTGCAGGGTATGGGAGAGCTAGAGCTGAGCCCACTGAGGACGACAAGCCAGCCCTGAAGACTCTGGCAAGCAAATCCAAAGTCCTCATGCTTGCCCCGGACAACAGGGGCTTGCTATAGGTTTCGGGCTGGCAAACCACATCTCTGGGTTCTCTTTTCCGAAACTTTCACTTGTCCCTCTACAGAGTGGACTGACGGCCAGCGGGGTAAAACAGATAGAAGTGGAAAGATGGCTGCAGAAAAGCATTGAGCCGTAAATACAGTACTGAGGCGCAGTGGCAGTGTGGGGGAGGGGAGGCGGAAGGACCTCTAGCCCGTCAAGGCCGTCAGAGCTTTCCACTGCGTGAGAACTTTACACCGTCCTGCGCCCGGTCCAAGCAGTTATCCGCTCCGTACGTGGGGCATCCTTGGCTAATACTGTGAATGTCATATAAAAATGTCTTATTGTGACGGAGAGCCCGGCGTGGCTTGAGCCATGAAAGAATAGGGAAGGATGTGTTCCTGTATGCTTTTATGAAAGAATAGGGAAGGATGTGTTCCTGTATGCTTTTCTTCTTCTCAACAGGAGATTTCCAGAACTCCCTGGCTCCATCACTCACTCCATCTCAGAACAAGGTTTTCCCTGAGCCACATTTCCATAAAGCCATTCTGCTATTATTTTCATGTGCTTTCATGGAAAAGTGAGTACCGCTGCCCTTGGCTGCTCATATGTACGCTGGGGGAGAGAAGCCCCAGCGAGCAGATGGTGCAGAGGCGAGAGCTTGGTGGCCAGTAAGAAGAGTGAGTTCTGGTGGCCTCGGCACTGAGCCACTGCGTGTTATCTGGACAGATGACCCTGGTCTTCCCAGGGTCCGTCCCGGAGGGAAGAGTCCAGTGCGCCTGCACAGCCCCTCAGCCAGCCCCAGACTCCTGCTCTTGGCTTTGCCATTGTAGTTAACCTGGTAACCTACCCTGGCTTCTTTCCAAGTACGGCTGCCCTGGACTCTAGCCTTGGGTGGGTAATCAAACCTCTGCCAGCTGTGTAACTCCCCTGTGCACTGGCCATCATCTCTCCAGAAAAGGTTCTATTGTGAAGAAGAAAGCGCGAGTGTGATAAAGTCCCCAGGACAACAATTACCTCAGGCACGGGGGACCCCAGCCCCTTCCAGTTTACAACTGGGACTTCCCCTCCCCCTGTCGAGGAAGCAATGGTCTTTGCCAAAACCTTTCTCTTGGGTATTGGGTTCCCTGACTTACATTTTTATTGCTATTGATGATTCATTTATGTATGAACAAAAAGATTCCATGATTTTGCAGATATCAGAAACGTTTTCATAGTCTTCTTCAAAGATGGCAAAGTGTCAATGGAAAAGTCTTTACCTGCTTCTGGAGCAGGCTAGACACGCTGCCAAGCCAGGTCCTACATAGCATGCCCACATATATGTCAGAGCAAGCCAGTTCCCATGCAGGAGTAGGAAGAGAGCTATTACAGAAAATGTTCCAAAACCAAGTACAAAGAAAAGAGCTGTGTCCCCAACAAGGGCAATTGATGTTTGCCATCTAAAACCACCAGAAGAGCATTCAAAAGTGTGTCCTTTCTCCCAGCTTGAACCCTAGATACTCACGGCTGGACTTGATTCCCTTTTCTTTCTTTCTTTTTTTTTTATTTTATGTGCATCGGTGTTTGGCCTGCATGTGTGTCTGTGAGAGGGCTCAGGTCTCCAGGAGCTATAGTTACAGACAGTTGAGGGCTTCCATGTAGGCTCTGGGAATTGAACCAGGGTCCTCTGGAAGAGCAGCCAGTGCTCTTAACCACTGGGCCATCTCTCCAGCCCCGAAATGATTCTTTTTAAAATTTAGTTAAGATATAAATATGTGGGTTCTTTTTCCTCTTTCCTGCCCCTCCCATCTCCAGCTCCTCCCACAAATCATGGGCCTCCTCCTCCTCAACTATTACTGTTACATGTACATGTAAACAAATCAACACACCACAAGTCCCTTCCGTGTTGCCTGCACGTGTGTGCTTCTGGGGCTGATCACTCAGTATTGCACAGCCAATCAGGAAACTCATCTCTGAGGAAAAATTCTCCCTCTGTCAGCCACTGTTAATCGCCTACAGCTCTTGAGATCCATGGGCTCCTGCCCCTAGATGATTCCTAAAAGTCTCTCAAGATTGGAATAACTCCTGGGCAACATTCCTTAGACTTTACCACACCATAAAAGCTTTACTGGAATTTACTATTTGCCATCTGTGTTTATCATGTCTCTAAAGTATCTTTAGTGTTGCAATTAACAAGAATTACATTGGTAACCTTTTATATGTAAAAGAACTTTTAAGAGCCTCTGTGTGTGTGTGTGTGTGTGTGTGTGTGTGTGTGTGTGTGTGTGTGTACACATGAGGAAATTTTCCTCTGTAAAGTCACTGTGTAGCATACAGAGGACAAAGGTTCATTGAGTGTCTTCCTCAACCAGGTCTGCATCTTACTGTTTTGAGGGAGAGTCTATCTTTGAACCTGGAGCTCACTAATTGGTTAGACAGTCTGGCCAGCAAGGCCCAAGGATCCTCCTGTTTTTACCCCAAATTGCTAGGATTACAGGTAGAGAACGCAGTGGGTGCCTGGCTTTTATGTGGGCACTGGGGACTCAAACTCAGGTCTTCCTGTTTATGTAGCAAGTTTACCAAGTTGACCCATCTTCCCAGCCTGGAGCCTAGCCTGTTTTTTTTTTTAATTTTTCATAACCTAATTCTATGTTTTCCATAAAGTGGTGTTTCAAATATTCAGCCCAACCTAATTTTTGCTTTAGTCAGTGTATCGTTCACTTAAAAGTTAGCCACGTTCGTAAAACCGTAAGTACTTGTCCCTTGTTAAAGAGCTCTTCAGTGTGAAGTTACCTGAAACTCCTGACAATGGAATGGAGGGGCCGCCGCTGCGAGCCTGATGGCCAAGGCGACAGCTGCAGCAAGCTCCCCTGTTCCTGTTTCTAGTCATCCGCCTAATCTTTGGGGACATTCTTACATTCCATCCTCTTTTTCTGCACCTCCTGACACATCTGGCTGGAATCGGAGCACAAAATGGATATTTCATACCAATACCGCACAGATCATAGAAAGCAAAATGACTGTGCTGTGACTTAAAACACCGTGACTTCCAAACCACCAAGCTGGCATTTTTCTAGAAGGGACCCCCACAGACTGGCAAATGTCTCCCAGATCGATTCCTTTTGTCCATGCATGCTTTTGCACAGTTAAGCATCTTATTCAAATCATACTTTAAATAATCCTGTTCACAGCTCGCACCTCAGCAGGTGAGCGGACTAGTGAGGAATTAAGCAAAGCCTGAATTATGCCCATCACAGAAGGATGTCTCCCCTCTCTGCAGGGCTAAGTAACAAAGGCAACCGACTCAGAGGGGTGATTAAAACCACTTACTAACCGCCTTCCGAGAAGCCCAAGTAAACACATCTATTGTTCTGCACTTACAGAGAGTGTCCTCCCCAAATATTGGGTTATAGAAGTGGTAATTGTTCAGACTGAGCTCTTTTTTTTCTTGATATTTGCTAGGAATCAGCATCAGTAAAACCATAAGCTGGTAAAGGAGCCATCTAGTCTTAAACGTAAAATTCTACAGCATTGAGCCTCTTTTGTGTACTGAATAGTTCCTTAATTCCACCAGATGTGATGCCACATCTGCAACACTAGCTCACAAATTCAAGACCAGCCAGAGCTACATAGTTAGGCCTTTTCTAGAAATAAAAAGGGGGGAGCATTTTTCTAGTTCTTCACAGTATCGTTCTAATCTAACGACATCCGGGCTGTGGGGATTGGCTGCTGCTCCCACTGTGACCAGGGCGCGCCATCCACTTGGATGGAAATGCCTGGGAAATTCCTCAGCGGCTGCCTCTGCTCTCTGAGTTTATTAGGGAGTGATGACTGGAAACAAGCCGGAAGTGGATGTCGTCCTGGGTCAGTTCACCTCGTCTCCTGTCACGTGAGCACGGCGGAACCCCGTAGCCGGGCTTTCACATTTAAACCTCTGTAACATAGTCCAGAGTTCCCAAAGAGCCTGCGACTCTGGGCCTACATTAGATTTCATGCCCACTACACTTCTCTAACATCTGCAATGCTCAAAACAGATGCGGTTTAGCAATTAAAACTACCCTGGGTTGGGACCAGAGAAACAGTTCAATGTCTACAAGCACTTGCTATTACAGACGGCTGGGGTTCAGTTCCCAGAATGCACTTGGTACCTCCTAATCCTCTGTTAACCTCAGTTCTGGTCATCTAGTGCTCTCTTCTGAGTGCTAAGGGCTATACATGCATACATACATGCAGACATTTGTACATATAAAATAAAAATAAACAAAACTTTAAAAATAGCCATTAATAAATTTTATACACTATTTGGTGATCATTTTAATTACATTTACATGATGTAACGATGATGTGCCAAGAAGCGTGTTTGTATGTCAGAGAGAGACGTGCAAAAAAGAGAGGGGTGGGCAGGGGAGGTGTGGAGGAAGAGGGCGGAAGAAAGAGAGAGGGAGGGATGGACATGTTTGACTTCCTTGATTTATAGTGATGGTGGAGCTTGGTTTCTTCTAAAGATTTAATTTATTTTTAATTATGTATGTGTGTGTGTGTTTGTGCAGGCGTGCACATGCAGTACCTATGGAGTGCAAAAGAGTCAGTCTCTGGAGCTGGAATTACAAGTGGTTGTGAGCTGCCTGGCATGGATGCTGGGAACTGACGCCCTCTACAGGAGGAGTGCATGCTCTTAACGACCAAGTCAGCAAACCAACTCGCTAATTGTAATCTTTACATAGCCAAAGTGAGAGACAGACATCCAGAATGCCTTTTCCACAAATTTATGTTGGAAATATCACTTTTATGTTGATATCTTTGTTTGTTTGTTTGGTTGGTTGGTTGGCTGTTTGTTTGGTTGGTTGGTTGGTTTGGTTTGACTTTGTTTTGTATTTCAAGACAAGGTTGCTCTGTGTAACTCTGGCTGTCCTGGAACTTGCTCTGTAGACCAGGCTGGCCTTGAACTCACAGAGATCTGCCTGCCTCTGCCTCCTGAGTGCTTGTGTTGATTTCTTAAGGAACCAAATGAAAGTATATGACATTTGTCAACAATTTTTAAATAATACCATTTCTTTAATCTTCTTAAATCCTAAATATGTAACAAGACCACCTCAAGGATGGGGTTCCCACAAGCTGTGGTGGCTAGACCACTCATTCTTAGAGTCTTTCTAATCTCCTCAGAAATACCAAAGCAAATTCCCTTTCCCTTTATCTAGTTACAGGTCAGAAGTTAAAGCAAGGCAAGATGTGAAACCAGACATCCGGCAGCCTCCCTTCACAGACTACAGGCAGCCCCCGCTGGACTACAGGCAGCCCCCTGGAGGGGACTACCCACAGCCCCCACCCTTGGACTACAGGCAGCACTCCCCAGACACCAGGCAGTACCCTCTGTCAGACTACAGGCAGCCACAGGTACCTCCGCTGGGGACCACAGGGTCCCAACTAAGACTTCTTGGTTGAAGGAGGCAGAAAGGACACCTGTGGGAGCAGACAGTCAGAGCTCTGTTCTCAGTATTGATATCGGGGTACCACCTGCATCTCCGAAACATCAGGGCATAAATAAATCTATCCCAGAATAAAGCAGGACAGGTCATCCATAGCTGGTCAGGAGTGAGAGGGTAGTCGCAGATGAACTAATCCTTGATGACAATTAATCAGATAAATCCAAGAATACAGCCTTGTCAACAGCTGTTGCTTTAAGCTCCTGCTAGACCCTCAGAATACTACTAATGCAGCAAAGTTTACATATTCCAGCCGCTGGGGGCTTTGAGAGCCATAGTTTCTAAATGGCCTCCTGCCTCCCACTCTGGTAAAGAGCCAAGCCTCTGTGCAGAGGGCAAAGCCGAACTTGGCTTCATGATCCACCCTGCAGCCACAGAGATTGCCAAAAAGCCCGAGCACACAATGGAGGGCTCAGCTGTTCCATTATTGCTTGACATCGGACTTTCCTCCTGAGACTCCCTGAGCTTCCGTTTCCTCAAGGGTACATGTTGCCAATAGGTCACAGTAAATGGCCTCTGTGAAAGGTGTCTAGTAAATACTCATCACTCAGTAACGAAATACCAAGATAGAAATTAAGTACAATTTCCACTCCATCCAATTATATTGTGCCTCATTATTAAGTGAAGTTTAAGAATGGTAATATCCGGAAGTCTTGGATATGCGGCATTTTTAAGGGGAAAGAAAAACTGATTTTTTTTTTTTTTATCTTCTGAGTTGACGGTCAGTGGTCTGTACAACTGGAAGATGCAGTCAGAACCCATTCAAGTTCACTTTTCAGCTCAGAAAATTGTTAGTTTACACTCAGGGAAACGCATCACTGGTTGGCAGACTTATTTATGGTACTAACAATAACGAATGAGGAAACTTAGAAGAGATGACGTCACAATACGTGCAAGTTGATCAAGAAAGCCAGCTCAACCTGTGCCGTTTGCTTTAGCAGAGTTAACTATTCTGACCTGGGTCTTATATATTCCATAATTGTAAAGTCAGATGGCATCATTCTGATGCCATGTCATGTAAACGCACTATGACAGGGAGGGATGGGGAAAATTGACCATCAAAGTCCCTCTAATCTAAACAACTTCATCTTCCATTCTCTCCACATTCCCAAAGGACTTTGATTATTTCACTGTGGACATGGAGAAAGGAGCCAAAGGATTTGGATTCAGCATTCGTGGAGGAAGGGAATACAAAATGGACCTGTACGTGTTGAGACTGGCAGAGGACGGGCCAGCCATAAGGAACGGCAGGATGAGGGTAAGGTGCCTCTCATTCCGGAGCCCCTCCACCCTAGTGAGGACCCCACTGGGGCATCAGGAAGGTGCTGAGGCATGCTCTCCAACAAGCAGGCTCTACCCTTTCTGTTTCCTGACCTGATTTTTAAAGATTTGGTCAAACACTTACAAAGAATTACAGAATCGAGCCAGGTGTGGTGGTGCATGCCCGTAACACAAGCACTGGAAAGGCTGAGGCAGGAGGATGATTCTATCAAGGGCATAGTAACTTTGAGGCCATCCTGGGAAATATAGTGCGACTCATACCCTCAAAACCAAAAAGGACAAAAGACTACAATGCCCCTTGTTTTTCTGCTTGTAAATGACTGCAGACTGATAAACCTCAACATGCTGGTGTTTTTCTCAAGAGGAGATGAAAGAGGACAAATGAAAGACATGTGAGGAATAGTTTGAAATGGAGACAGGCTCTATTATTCTTCTAGGGCTCACTGATCCCATTTCCAGTGAGGTTTCCCTTTCATGCTGGTCCTCTCCACATGCATTAATCAAATGGCCTTGTGTCTCTCTGAAAATATTTCCTTCTTATTGACTGACCTTTGGGCTTTGATAGTGGGCAGCCAGACACAATAGCAGAAAGGGGATTTGGCTTCTAGCACATAGGTTGCCCTCAAAAATTGGAGCAGTTAGATGATTCAATTTGAGTGCAAGTAGGGAGGGATTCTCAAAGTAACAACCATGTGCAGGTAGGTGACTGATGAAATAACTAATTCTGCATCAACAGGTATAAAACAGAACAATAGTGTAACTTTAGACATATCCCTGCCCTGTCTCAAACGGCACCAGCAGCTACATAACTAAGTTTAATTCTTCTTGTATGTCTAGAATTCACCCTTGCCATCCTTCCCTGCCTTTTAAGTTCATGCAGAAAGAAAAAAAAAGCTGGAGGTTCTAAAATCTGAGGTCCTTGGGCTAAGCCTTGTCAACCAATTGTTCTTGGGAGACGCACCTGTTACTCCCACCACGGCTAGCGCTATCGTTCTCATTCCAAAATCAAGGCACCATCTACAGTGCAACAGCAGGAAGAGTGCAGATCAGCCCCTCCTCTACATCCTCTGAAAACTGGGAAACTGCGGAGGTGGAATTTTACCCCAGATGGGAGCGACTCCAGCTATAGACAGCCCTTCCCCTGATCTAATACTATCCTACGCTTTCCTGTCTGAGGAATTGGCAGGAGAAGTCCCCACGTGGCTTCTTGCCGCTAGTGTTTCCCTCCAAACCAGAATGGCACATTCTTTCTATAGAATTATGTTTGTTTACTTATTCGTGGTAGAGGCATGTTCATGCCATAGAATGCACATGAAAGTCAGCGGACAATTTGTGGAGTTGATTCTTTCCTTCCAGTATGTGTGGGGTGAGGGTTGCACTCGGGCAGTCAGGCTTGGCAGTAAGTATCTTTACCCACCTGCCAAGGCCAGAATTGCACGGCAAAGTTAGCTCCTAAGTTATTAAAATGAAGCAAAATTAATCCATGCAGTGCGATTGACGTCAGCATAGTACAGAGATCAGGCATGAAATGACCAGAGCCTACTGTGATAAGGAACAAGGTCCTTCTCCAGCTGCCACCCACAGACTTTAGAGGTTGCCACATTTTGAAACAAGTCTAAGTGGCTCACTGCTGGATAGATACAGAAGCCCAAGCAGAGAGTAAGATTTTTATAGAGCCTCAACCCTTGCAGTGGCTCTCGGCACATGCATGGCAGCAAGTCTCGGAGCTTGGCAATGTGTGGGGTCTGCAGAGTTATAGGGCAAAGTTGCACTTGATCATAGCACCCACATTGGCATTCACAGATACGTATAAATTACTTCATCAAGGACTGGGATCGATCAAGAGTTGCAAGACTTATGGTCTGATTATTTTAAGCTAATGCACTAACTGGATAATATATGGGTTATTGGTTAGGAAAATCAATAATAAAGTTGCTCAGGGACCTTTTTCTCAGTTTGTTCCAAGCTTCCACCTTGATATTATTAGTGTTCCGGTGCATATGAAGCTTAGACATCTGTCAATAAGGTTTTACGAGGTCTTGTCAACCTCACATGACTTGGTTTGTAAATTTTCAAGACTCCCGAGACATCCAGCTAAGCTAGACATTCATGGACTATCACTAAACACAGCTCCAAGGAGAAGGTAGTATGAAGTTCTTTTCAGTCTCTGACCTACTACAGTACATCTCTCCCCTATTAACATGATTTTGTCACCTCCAATATCAATGTGTGACCTCTCTGCACACACACACACACACACACAGACACACACACTTATCAAATTCACTTAGTAGATATTATTTATTTCCCCCATTTCCATCATCAAGAACATCAAAAAGAAAAAGTCCAGATAATGGTCTAGTAGAAGATTCGATTTATTTAGTCTGGTACTATAAATTGCCCAAATTCAGATTACTACGAGGAGTTAAATGAACTAACTACTGTGCCCATAGGTTTGGGACATGGATACTGTGAATTTTAGTTATTTGTTACCAGAACAAATAACAATGATCTTCCTGGGACAGGTGAGGAAAGGTAGGTAGACAGAAAACAGTCCTGGTCTGTTTTTTCTGGCAGTCTGCTGTCATGAGGATTAGTTTGGCAGAGAACTTTAGCAAATTAGGCTATTAGTGAAATTAGTTCCAACAAAGTTAAGAGGGATAAAATCTTCATAACTAATGAATACATCTCTGGGACAAAGTTCTTAGAAATATAACCTCATTAAAAACTGAGTAGAAAACACAGGCAAAGAAGAGCACGCATACAAAATAGCTCTCTGTGGAGCTCAGGAAGTGGAGAGTGTAAGAAATTCAGAGGTAAATGTGATAGATGCAGACACATCTAGCTTGAAACTACAGAATAAGTATTTAAACGAAATACATTTTATCTCATATTTCTGTTGCTATTAAACACAGAACCACTTGCAAGACTGTTTCTAACATATGTGACAGACATAAATACTAATGATACTTCAAATACCCATGAGCTCTATACCAGCTTTAAAAAAGGAGAGGACATTCATTACCAACCTCTCACATCTCCATTCCCTCCTACCTTCTCGCCCCAGACAGAAAGAGCCACCACCCTAACTAAAGAAGTACTTGGCGTTCTGCTGCTGTTTCCACATATGTGGATTTCTTGTTGCACACTTAGTGAACTTTATGCCGATGACTCATAGTGTGCATGCTCTTCCCTGTGGTTCTTTTTCCATAAGTTATTTGTCATGAGATTCATCCACGTTGGTGGATTTATTTTTACTGCTGTGAATTTTCCATTTGGGTCAGTATTCCTCCCGTCTATGTAGTTGTCTGTTTTCCTGTTCGATGGGCATTTGAAATTTCCCGTCGGTGGATCTTGGGTTGTAAATAGCACAGTCCTTGAACAGCCTCCAGTTACATAATACAACACTTTCTCTAGACTAGTATATTGCTAGATAAGTACATATTTACTTAACTAAAATCACAAGAAGAATATTTGAGGTTACCATGTCAAGTTATACATGTAGCAACAGTGTTGCTAAGTGTTCATACTTGCAGAACTGGTGTTTCCATCTTCTAAATTCTCACTCTAATAAGTGGAAATGACATATCATCTGTGCATAAATGTGCATGCTTATATCTGCATGCAAACAAATAAGTGTGCACCAGTATCAGTGTGCAGGTGAGTGTGCACCTGTGTCAGTGTGCAGGTGTGTGTGCACCAGTGTCAGTGTGAAGGTGAGTGTGCACCAGTATCAGTGTGCAGGTAAGCGTGCACCTGTGTCAGTGTGCAGGTGAGTGTGCACCTGTGTCAGTGCGCAGGTGAGTGTGCACCAGTATCAGTGCACAGGTGAGTGTGCACCAGTATCAGTGTGCAGGTGTGTGTGCACCAGTGTCAGTGTGAAGGTGAGTGTGCACCAGTATCAGTGTGCAGGTAAGCGTGCACCTGTGTCAGTGTGCACCTGTGTCAGTGCGCAGGTGAGTGTGCACCAGTATCAGTGCGCAGGTGAGTGTGCACCAGTATCAGTGTGCAGGTGAGTGTGCATCTGTGTCAGTGCGCAGGTGAGTGTGCACCTGTGTCAGTGTGCAGGTGAGTGTGCATCTGTGTCAGTGTGAAGGTGTGTGTGCACCTGTGTCAGCGTGAAGGTGAGTGTGCATCAGTGTCAGTGTGAAGGTGAGTGTGCACCTGTGTCTGTGAGCAGGTAAGCGTGCACCTGTGTCAGTGTGCAGGTGAGTGTGCACCTGTGTCAATGTGCAGGTGAGTGTGCACCTGTGTCAGTGTGCAGGTGAGTGTGCACCGGTGTCAGTGTGCAGGTGAGTGTGCACCGGTGTCAGTGTGCAGGTTAATGTGCACCTGTGTCTGTGAGCAGGTGAGTGTGCACCTGTGTCAGTGTGCAGGTAAATGTGCACCTGTGTCTGTGAGCAGGTGAGTGTGCACCTGTGTCAGCGTGAAGGTGAGTGTGCATCAGTATCAGTGTGAAGGTGAGTGTGCACCTGTGTCTGTGAGCAGGTAAGCGTGCACCTGTGTCAGTGTGCAGGTGAGTGTGCACCTGTGTCAGTGTGCAGGTGAGTGTGCACCTGTGTCAGTGTGCAGGTGAGTGTGCACCTGTATCTGTGAGCAGGTGAGTGTGCACCTGTGTCAGTGAGCAGGTGAGTGTGCAACAGTGTCTGTGAGCAGGTGAGTGTGCAATGGTGTCAGTGTGCAGGTGAGTGTGCACCTGTGTCTGTGAGCAGGTGAGTGTGCACCTGTGTCTGTGAGCAGGTGAGTGTGCACCTGTGTCTGTGAGCAGGTGAGTGTGCAACGGTGTCAGTGTGCAGGTGAGTGTGCACCGGTGTCAGTGTGCAGGTGAGTGTGCACCTGTGTCTGTGAGCAGGTGAGTGTGCACCTGTGTCTGTGAGCAGGTGAGTGTGCACCTGTGTCTGTGAGCAGGTGAGTGTGCACCTGTGTCTGTGAGCAGGTGAGTGTACACCTGTGTCAGTGTGCAGGTGAGTGTGCACC